CACAACAGGACAACAAAATACAATGCACATACAAGCAATATATACCATCAATAATTAGTGAAATAGCTCACCAGGGTGTTGTACTTCCATATCTCGCCGACATCAAGTGTACTTCTGGGTATGCGCGCGCACCATATTGCGTGCCCTGCCTCCCGTCATGTCATTGTGCGTGCCTAACGTAATGGATGGCCGGGAACCCGGTCGCCTTGGCAACCATGAAAACAAATTAATGTTATGAATAGGTTTATGTAAAAGACCCAAATAGGAAATAAAATGACATACATACATACAGCTTGTTAATATTTTAATTTAGTGATAGTATTATCCTCAGCGTTATATTAGTAGTATTTATTTTTATATACAAATAGTCCGACTTGTAGAATGTGTATGATACAATTGAATATATAGATGAATAGTTTCTTATATATCTATGATGCACTTTATATTCGATGCACATTTTCACTTTACTAATTATTTGCACTTTTTTTCTGCATGTATTCACTTTATAACTACTTGCATTTTTTCTGCATGTATGCACCTTATTAGGTATATATATTTGTTATATCAATAGTGCACTCTTTATGGCACATAGTACATGGTCACATATTCTCACCAATTGTGTGGGAATACTTAAACATTGTTACTTGAGTTGTATATTTATATTTTTGCTTCTATTGATATATGCACTATTACACTGACAGAAGGAATCTGCCTTACAATAATATCACCCCAGATGGTATATTCACTATTTTTCTCATGTCATTTTATTTCCTATTTGGGTCTTTTATATAAAAGTTAGACAGAAGTCCTTTATGATGGACTGCAAGCACATTTTCCTGCCCAAAACAGTTCCATAGATTTGGGCTGTGCGGCCAGTCAATTTTATGCAGAACGAGTCCGTTAGTGCATTTAGCTCAGTATAACAGTGAGTTCAAACTACCGAATGGGACTTAGTCTCGGCGGCTTCAAACTTAGTGTAGGAGAAGGTAAGGGTCAGCGGTGTTCGTCTAAATGTGTAGCCGATTTCAGTTCCATCAATTTGGCTACACATACCGCTGACCTCGTTCGAAGGAACAAAGATGGCTGCTGCCACGTGTTGGTTTGCACGAACTGTGGCCACCCAGCGGTCGGCAATTTACCTACAGCAGGCTCCCAGCCTGGGAGGTAAATTGCCTGCACACTTCCACTTCTGGGTGGTCCGTCTGTGTGGTACTTGGTTCAGTAAGCCCCATTTACTGAACCAAGTGGAAAATAGCAATGAACAAAAGATTTTAACCAAGTCTGGGGACACAGGCTTAAAGGGGCAGTGTCCCAAACAAGTCTGGGGACACCGTCTTAAAGGGGCATTGTCCCAATTTTCTCTATGTCCCAAAAATGTGCTTAAAGGGCCTGCACCAGTCCCATAAAAAGTCCATAAGCCCCAATATGCTCACATACTGTTCTTAGTCCCTTAACATGTCATGATTCCCTTTTGACATGTCATGATTCCCTTTTATTCCACAAGTTTGGTCCTTAAGGGGTTAAAGGGCCATACACACCCGGTCCATAGTCATGGGGGAGGAGGCTGGCAAATAGGCTCCTCCATAATCCAGGGAAGCAGGGCAATTTGTCATTTAAAGGAACAGTTACAAAAGGCATTTTGTAACAATTATCTATGTGTTCTTCTGTATACTGTATCTCTTTTTATAATTCTTCAAACTTCTATCTTCTTTTCGTTATTCTTCTGTTTGTATAATCTTGGTGAAATTATAACCATTACTTAAATTTGCATTCATACCAATACCCGCACCAATGGGTTAATGGGATCTACCAGCTTGTTGAAGATTTAGACTTTGGACAGAGTAGAATCAAATGAGTTATATGTATCATACATAAAATATATATATTAGGAGAACCAGAATGAGAGCAAAGGAGGGCAAAACAAGAAAGAGTGGAAAATGTTGAGTTTATATGAATAAGGGAAAATGTCTGAGATTGTATTTGATGAGGCAAAGTAAAAATACTGAGATGACAAGAAGCACAATATGCAAGGTGACATATTGTGAACCTTGGTAAAAATGGTAAGATACAATTAAGCAGGATAAGAAGGATATAATGAAGGAGACACAAATCCCAGGCTAAAATAAGATCAGAAGAATGATCTGAAGTTTGTTTAAGTAATAGGATGGCAAGCATGATAAGAAGAGAAAGAAGAAGGATGACAAATAGCTCTGAAGTAGCATGAAAAGTTAAGAATGAATTAAGGTAAGACCGTACTAATAAAGTGGAAGAGGAGTCATTTATGAAAGAGAGTATGCATAGTGAGATGACATGATGCAAAGTAAATAAAAATGTTAAAAAAGGTGTCGTGATGATTTCTCAGTAGGTATAAAATACAAGGGGGATTGTGAGATTATATGAGCTAAGATAAAAGTGTTTGATTACTTATAGCATCACACGATGCTTATATAATGGGCAATATTCAAAAAGCATTGATTAATGTAGATATGGAAATGTGGTGCTACGTTAACAATATAACATGTAATAAAAGCTGCACAAACACTACAAGGTTGCTCCCTCACAGGTACAACCAAACAATACAAGAGAATACAAAAAAAAGAGTGGAGGGTGTGCTTAACAGTATGGAAAAAATATATATACTTATCAATAGAGTATTAAACTGGTATCTCCACGTCAAACTCAAATATACCTAAATACATGTGATAAAAGAGAAAAACACATCATAGTGCTACCTGTAAGCTAACAAAATAAGTGTAAATAAAGAGAGAAGTGGAAAAAGGAACAGCCTTTTGTGGCAAAAAAGATTTAGGAGGAAAAAAAACACTAAATAATAGTAGACAACAACTCCAATGAAGTGTGCAGGTAACTTACAGACTTTATAACCCACTCTCAGCTCTATATATAATGCTCAGTAATGGTTATGGTGGTCACTCTTCATGTAAGGGGAAATAGTATGGTCTTCACAAGAGATGCACCTCAGGAGATAATGGAGGAGGCACATCGAGATGAGAAAATTATTTAGATGTGTTTATTAAAAAATAATAATAAATAAAAAAAATAAAAAATAAAAATATATATATATATATAGTAGATTGTAGATTGTAGATTGGATTAGCCATATTAGTCCAGTAGAGAACATGCCAAAATACTAGTATTTTGCAGTATGCAATTATACCTTTTTTTTATTGGACTAACATAATATTTCAAAGACAAGCTTTCGAGAGTTTTCCTCTCTTCTTCAGGTCTGAAGCAGTACTGATCAATCTGATAGAATTTAACACTTAAAACAACTGATGTTAAAGAAGGGAGGGTTGGGGGTTGTTGAAATATGTGATCATTTTCATCTCAAATTTCTTTTGTTCATGAGAGTCTTTGAAATTCTCTTTAAGAACTGTATTCCTGAGGTTTTGGATGGAGTGACCAGTCTGGGTGAAGTGATGACCAACAAGGGTACAATATCCATTTTCCTTGTGGTTCTTGATTGAGTGTCTGTGTAGATTCATTCTGAGATGCAGTTTAAGGCCAGCTTCTCCAGTGTAGCAAACTTTGTCACACACTGTATACTGTATTATGTACACCACATTCGCAGATGTGCACAAATATGATGCCTTAATTTTGTATGATTTGTTATTGTGTCTGGCTGAGTTATTGCCTCATATATGTTGACACATTTGCAGAGTGATTAGTTGCATCGTACATTGCCATTCTGTGTTTTCTTTTTCTTTTCTTTTTTTTCAACCAGCTTATTGACTCTCCTCTGTTTATTTACTTTTTCTGCCTATTCTCAGCCACCCTGCACCTTTCACTTTCAGGCACATATTCTGCTATTTATGATACCCCACTCCTCTCCCCACCCCCTCCCCTTCTTTAACATCAGTTGTTTTAAGTGTTAAACTCTATCAGATTGATCAGTATTGCTTCAGACCTTAAGAAGAGAGGAAAACTCTTGAAAGCTTGTCTTTGAAATATTATGTTAGTCCAATAAAAAAGGTATTTTGGCTATGTATATATATGGTCAGAAACATAATAGTAATATGTGTGATATGGATTAATGCAAAGTTGGGTGGGGTGGGGTGTGCCTTAAGCAATGTACAGGTAGGCCTGTAATAAAATGAGGGCCCACCAAGAGTAAAGTTATTAATAAATAAAGTATAAGGGGTGAGGTGGGTGGGATGACCTGAACGAGAACGGCAGGGGTAAAAGGGTGATTGGGGTTTTTATAGGATAAGATAGATTCAAACTTCTTCCACAAATACAGGCCCATGGCCTTAAAACTTGTGGTCAGAAACATAATAGTAATATGCGTGATTCGGATTAATGCAAAGTTGGTTCTGGTGTTCAAAATTCATCAAATTTACAAAGCCAAACTTTTAAAGCTTTCCTCATTTCTTTCTTGGGATGAGGTATATAACGATTGCAGACTGAAGATTTACATCTCCACAGTCTTTAATAATATGCACTGGGGTGTCAGTGCTGGAAGTGGCTGAAGCTTCCCCTATTCAAAATGAATGAATTGAAAATTATGCTGGGTAGAAATCCAATCTCAGGAATAGTGTTCTAATGTAGAAGATTACTTAAGCAGTAGTAAGTGGAATTCCTTGAAGTGAGAGTAGTGATGAATTGTGTGTGACATGACTGACTGTGGAAGTGGTATGGTGGATGATTAGTTTGGTTAGTATTAGAGGTCTGTAGAGAAAGTATATAGTGATTGTGATGTTTGTTGATATCTGATATTTTTAAGCTTGAGATGATGTCTGTCTAGCTACTGCAAACTCTCAGGGTCTCAGAAAACTGTAGAATGC